CTGAGCGTGGAGAAGGAGCTGCCGCAGGACAGGGATCCGTCCCGCTTGCAGCCGGACAGCACGGGGAGCAGGGAGCAGGCCCTGCCGCAGCGTGTGTCCCCGCTGAGCACTGCCACAGGTAAGGGATGTGCCTCCTGGTCTTCCTCCTGGCCTCTGGGACAGGGTAGGGAGCTGGAAATGTGGCCCCAGGGAGCTGGAGAGGTGACCCAAGTTGCTGGAGAGGTGGCCCCAGGGAGCTGGAGAGGAGGCCCAGGGAGTTGGGTTGGTGGCCCAGGGAGCTGAAGAGGAGGCCCAGGAAGATGGAGAGGTGGCCCAGGAAGCAACAAGTGGTGGGCTTTGTCCTCGGCAACTGCTGTCCCTCAGGGAGGGTACAGATCCATCTGGGAAGTGCTGGCTGGCAGGAGAATCACCTCTGATCCAGGAGGAGAATGCTGAGCCTTGCAGAAGGGATGGAGTCACGCAAAGAGTTGGTCTCCTTGCCCTGTGCACTGTTCCCCCTTGGATAGATGTCCAGACCCTGCTGACATGCTCTTCCTGGAGGACATGTGTGGAGCACTCACTGGCTCTACAGCACCTCCTTTGCTGAATGTTTCTGCTCAGCCCCAAAGTTGGGGTTCTTCCACTCCACTGCAGTGGATGCTGAATCCCAGGAGCCCCTGCTGTCCCTAAAGAAAAGCTGCTGGGCAGGTTTGGGCCAAGTGAACGTGGGTTTGCTGATAAACTGCCCCAAGCTGCATTCCAGAAGTGAGGAATTAATACCCCTTTCAAGTTCCAGAAAGGGGACTGTCTTTAGCTCTGGCACCCATGGGAGATGTCCAGTGCTGGACACAGCAGTGGCAGCTAGGACTGCTCTTTCAGCTATGGGTGTCACAGGGGGAACCAGAAGCTGCTCCTGGGAGTTGTAGGCTCCAGGCTGTCCTGTCTGAGCCATGTCTGAGCACAGGGGACAGAGTTTGGTCTGGACACTCCCTGAGTGCCCTGGAGCAGGTGTTCCCTGCAGAGTGGCTCTGCTGCTTTGCCTTTAACGCTCCGTGTTCTCCTTCATTCCCTAGGCCAGTTGAGTGGGAAGCAGGTTCTGTCTGCAACGTCGGATGAGCGGGTAAAAGACGAGTTCAGTGACCTTTCTGAGGGGTGAGAGAAGAGTGGGTTTAAAATAGCCTAAATGTCTTCTTTGCCAGTGTGAACTGCCCCAGCTGGGAGAGCTCCTTCTCCAGCAGCCCCTTGGAACCAGTGCCAGAGGTGCAGAGTGGCAGCTCTGCTGTGGCTGTCACAGCACTGAGGCTCTGAGCTCCCTTCCTGCTGCAGGGGGTTGCACACACCTGCACTCTGTTTGTTGGCTGCTCCCAGCAATCCTGGCCCTGTTCCATCCCTTTCTGTGCTGGGAAGGAGCTGTGCTGGGGGCTCACTCATTCCTGGTACTGCTGCTCCAGCTCCTCAGCCTCAGAGCAATTCCCTCCATGGCTGGGGCTGTGGAAGAGCAGTGGGAGTGGGAATGCAGGCACAGGGTGGCACGTGGAGAAACCACCCTGTTTGGTCCCCGGGAGAGTGATTAACTGGGAAGAGGGAGTGGGAGGGATGCTGGCAGCTCTGTAGGCTGTGTGGGCAAAGATTGGGATAAATCCTTCCAGCACAGTGAGGCTGTAAACACCTGAGTCCAGATGTTCCAAGTCTAAAGGGCCAAGTGCAGTGATTCCAGTGTCAGCTGAACCTGTCAGCTGCCACAGTAAAAGTGCCATCACAATTTATTGCCCTTTTCCTGGCTTCAGGAATTAGTTGCTGCTTCAATGGCTTGAGGCCTAAAAGGAGGAAAAAAACCACCCCAAACTCATGTGGCTGCTACATGTGAGGGAATAGGGAATGACCCATAGCTTCATTAACCTGCAGCAGACAATGACATGACATTCTTGCTCCACAGAATTCCCTTTCCCAGCAGAGGAAGCATTGGCCACATCCGTCACCCATGAATAGACCCTTTCAGTCCCAGCCATTTTTTTGTTCTCCTGACAGTGGTTCAATTATTCTTGCAAAGATTTAGTCCTAAAAGGACCTGATTTGGGTCTTTGCTGTGGTCACTGTGTTTGCTGGGGAAGAGGACGGAGAGGAGGACACATGGAGTGGCTGCTGTGCCACCCAGAGGGGGAGATGGAAGCGCTGGGAATGGGGAACTGCTGGTGCTGTCCTGGTGCCACATCAATAAAGACCATCTTGTCTCTCTCAGGGACTGCTTGAGTGACGATGAAAGTGAGAAGAGAAACGTGCAATCCTCAGATGACTCCTTTGAGCCTTACCCCGAGAAGAAGTAAGGGGCTCTGGGGTGGGCAGGGGTGGTTACCACCTCCATGAGGCCAACATGGGGTTCCTGTGGGGTCACGGTGATGCCAAGGCTTCAGCACCCCTGAGCTCCACATGGCGTTGAAGCTGGGCCACATCCCTCCTCCCCAGGCCTGCCACAAACAGCCACAGCTTGTGTGCTCGGGGCTGCGTGTGTTCCTGCTTTGCCAGGTCAAGCATCAGCTTGGGGACGATTAGATGGGAGGACTAAACCCAAGATCAAGTCTTAAGACACTCTCCTGCTTCCTTCTTGGAGGGTTTCTGGTAAGAAAAGCGACAGCAAAGAAGCAAAGAAGGCAGAAGAGCCCAAGATAAGGAAGAAGCCAGGGCCCAAGCCAGGCTGGAAGAAAAAGATCAAATGTGAACGGTAAGGAGATGTTGACAGGGCTGGGACAGCCCTGAGCTCTGCACTGCCTGACACACTTCTGCTTCCAGGGAGGAGCTGCCCACCATCTACAAGTGTCCTTACCAGGGCTGCACGGCTGTCTACAGAGGGGCTGATGGCATGAAGGTGAGTTTGGGGTCTGCTCCTGGCCCAATAGCTCCCAGTGCTATGGAGCTCCTTCCATGTGAGGAGAGGATCCCACATGGGTTTAATTCCAGTGGCAGTGAGCCACTAAGAGCAGCCTGCTGGAAATCCTGGCCTTTTCCAATCTACTCTGACTCTTCCTGCTCCTCCTATCCTGGAATGCTGCTGCTGGCTCACAGCATCCCTTGCCACAGGCTCTGCTGTGTCCAGTTAATCTCTCCTGCCTGGTGTAGATTGGGATGCAAATCCCAGTTTTTCACATGGTGGCCTCAGTTTTTGGGATCTAAGTTCTTCCCTGTCCAAAGCTCTGCCCTTGCTCTACAGAAACACATCAAGGAGCACCACGAGGAGGTGCGGGAGAGGCCTTGCCCTCACCCAGGCTGCAACAAGGTGTTCATGATCGACCGGTACCTGCAGCGCCACGTCAAGCTCATCCACACAGGTGTGTCCCTGCAGGTGACAGGTGCCACAAACACTCAGCACCTCGTGGCACAAGGCTTGGAGGAGTGTGAGGCTTGGAGGTGCTATGGCAGGGCTGTGGGAGGGAGCAGGGTGGCCTGGAAACCTGTAACAATGCATCCTGTGGGGGATGTGAGGCAGGGGAGGAGTTCAGACTCCAGAGGGAGTGTGGGCAGGTCTGTGTGCAATACATGCTCCAAGAGAGGAGCAGAATCCATGGCTCTCTCCCATTTCCCTTGCAGAGGTACGGAACTATATCTGTGATGAGTGTGGACAGACCTTTAAGCAACGCAAACACCTCTCAGTCCATCAGATGAGGCACTCAGGAGCGAAGCCCCTGCAGTAAGTGATTCCCTCCCTCCTTACCAACAGGGATCAAAAGGATTGGGGTGACTAACCCTGGCACAGTAATTCTGGGATAGAGACCCTCCCTGGAGCTGGCAGCATCCTTTCTGGATCATTTTAAATAGAATGGATGAGGAGAGGGATGAGACACCTTTCCCATGAGGAAAGTCTGGGACAACTGAGTGTTCAACCTGGAGAAGGCTCCAGGGAGGCCTTAGAGCCCCTTCCAGTGCTTAAAGGGGCTCCAAGAGAGCTGGAGAGGGACTTGGGACAAGGGCCTGGAGGGACAGGAGACAGGGAATGGCTTCCCACTGCCAGAGGGCAGGGATAGATGTGATAGTGGGAAGAAATTCTTCCTTGTGAGGGTGGTGAGGCACTGGCACAGGTTGCCTAGAGAAGCTGTGGCTCTCTGGAGTATTCCAGGCCAGGTTGGATGGGGCTTGGAGCAACCTGGGCTGGTGAAAGATATCTCTGCCCATAGCAGGGGGTGAATCTGGATGAGCTTAAAGGTCCTTCCAATTGAAACCAGTGTGGGTTTGTATGATCCATTGTAAATGTCCATCCCCCCCAGCTCCAGAGCTTTCTCTGTCTGAGCCAGTGAGGCTGAGGCCTGGTGCTGAGCCCCCTCTGCCCTGCAGGTGTGAGATCTGTGGGTTCCAGTGCCGCCAGCGAGCGTCGCTCAAGTACCACATGACCAAACACAAAGCCGAGGCAGAGCTGGAGTTTGCCTGTGACCAGTGCGGGAAACGCTTCGAGAAGGCTCATAACCTCAACGTCCACATGTCCATGGTGCACCCTCTGACCCAGACTCAGGACAAAGCCAAGCCCCTGGAGCCAGAACCCATCCTCCTCCTCACCACCTCAGGGACAGCAGAGAGCCAGGTGGTGAAGCCTGAAGTGACTGCACAGCAGGAGCCTACCTGAGGGGGGACAGGGCCACAGTCCTGGTCCAGCCCTGAATGGCCATGGAGGTTTTTAATCTATGTGTTAGTCTCCCAAAGACCTCAGTGGAATTAGCTTCAGCTTGCTCAGAAAAGGCTTGTTCTCATGCAGTGATCCCCATGCTCACATTGACTCAGCAGTGTTGTACTAAGAGTGTCTAACCCCAGGGGAAGGGAGGTCTGTGCTCCCTGTCCCCACACACACAGCTGTCCCCTGCCTGCACACAGGTGTCCTGGGGGGCGTGAGGGGCACAGAGGACAGTGGGACAACTTCAAGCAAACATTTTGTTTGGAAAAAAAGAAAAAAAAAAGAAAAAAACGACCCATAATGATGATTCCCAAAGCAAGTCTAAACTGAAATTTGTAACCTACTTTTTATTGTAACAGGAGCTTCATGGTTATGCTTGTAATAAATTATTTACAAAGTAACTCACAGGACATGGCCCAGGGGAGGAAGGAGGCACCTGGTTTGTCCTGGCAGCAGTAGTCAGGGTGTTGTGCTGCTGTCTGCCTGTGGCTCAGAACAGTTCCAGTTCTTCCTCCAGCTCCATGGCTGCAGCAGGCTGGGAGCAGTGCCGGATGGTGGCTCCCAGCTCCGGGTCAAGTTCCTCACAGGTGCTCAGGAGCTGTGGACAGGGCAGGGAGCCAGGTCAGACCTGCTCCTGCTTCCTCCAAGCCACTTCCCAGCAACACCTGAGCACTTTGCTGCCTCTCAGCCAGGCACAGGCAGAGGAGGAGGGAGAAACTTCCACACCTGCCTTGGGCTGTGCCTGAGGTTTCCCTCAAAAGCAGGAATGATGAGGAGTCTGAAGTGCCGGGAGTGAAGGAGGATGTGGCCATGGCACTGGCTGAGCACCAGGTGTCCTCTCACTCCCAGGTGGGTTAGGGAAGCATGGAGCATGGCACAGGTCAAACCCACAGCACCAGTACAGGATCAGTGCCCAAGGAAGGCTGCACAAGCAGCAGTATTCCCAGCTCTCACACACTGGGAGCAAAGGGAAAACCCCTGACGTGCCGGGAGTGAAGGAGGATGTGGCCATGGCACTGGCTGAGCACCAGGTGTCCTCTCACTCCCAGGTGGGTTAGGGAAGCATGGAGCATGGCACAGGTCAAACCCACAGCACCAGTACAGGATCAGTGCCCAAGGAAGGCTGCACAAGCAGCAGTATTCCCAGCTCTCACACACTGGGAGCAAAGGGAAAACCCCTGACCATACCTGCTGTATGTTCCCAAAGCTCTGGGCAGGGCAGCGTGGGATGGTTCCCAGCAGGAACCGCCGGGCCACAGAGATCACTTCCAAGGGATCCTGCAGGAAAGACACAGCCATGGGGGCCAGGCACAAGGTCACCCTCATTCTTTGTGCAGGAGGGGAGTGGATATGGGGAAGGAATTGTTCCCTTTGAAGGTGCTGAGGCACTGGCACAGGTTGCCCAGAGCAGCTGTGGCTGCCCCAACCCTGGAAGTGTTCCAGACCAGGCTGGATGGGGGCTTGGAGCAACCTGGGCTGGTGGTGGAACTAGAGGGACTTTTAAGGTTGTTCCAACCAAGTCATTCCACAGTTCCATGATAAGAGAAAAAAAGAGAGTCTAAGCTTCACTCACATGCTCTGTGGGGTCTTGATCATACTGTGGCAGGAATTCCTCTTCCACAAAGAGCTGGAGCAAGTGGATGTACAGATCCAGTGCCACACAGAGGAAGGTTGGCTCTCCCTGGAGCAGCTCTGGGTGGAGGCCGGGGGTGAGGCTGGAGGAGATCACACAAGGGCTCTGCTAGCTCTGGTTCCGTGGGAGAGACACACACACACACATACACACACACAGGTACAAGGCAAACAGCTGCTGCTCTGCCCCATCTGTTGTACAGTCCCATGGAGGGCAGAGCCACCTCACTGCCAGGGAGGGAAGGCAGCCAGGACACTCCTGTGTGGAACACAAAGCTGAAGGGCAATTTCTACCAAAGTCCTCCTAGCAGAAGACACAGAGCCCCTTACACAGCAACCTGCCCTGCCCAGGTGTTCTCTGCTGCACAGCTCAGGAAAGAGGTAGCTGTGCTCACCTACAGGTCAGCAGTGCTGCTACCTCTGTGCCAGCTGCTGGAGGTGCAAACCATCACCCATTCCCTCCCTCCCGCCTTCTTCCCAGCCCAGCAGGGCTTTACCTGTAGAATGCAACGGGCAGGAGCTGGATGTGTCGGGCTGAGGCTGCACTGAGCAGGACATGGTATTGCCCGGGGGCTGCAAGGACAAAGGAGAGCACTGAGCACCTTCGGGGGGCTCATGACACCTCTCAGACTGCTACAGCAGCACAGCCTGGAGAAGAGGAGGCTCAGGGAAACCTTCTGGCTCTCTACAACAACCTGACAGGAGTCAAGTGGGTGTCAGTCTCTTCTCGCAGGGAAAAAAGTGACAGAACAAGAGGAAAGGGCAACAAGCTGTGCCAGGGGAGGTTCAGGTTAGACATCAGGAGGAAATAATTCATGGAAAGGGCTGTCAGGCATTGGAATGTGCTGTCCAGGGAGGTGGTGGAGTCACCATCTCTGAAGGTGTCCAAGGAATGACTGGATGTGGCACTCAGTGCTCTGGTCTAGCTGACAAGGTGGTGATAGGGCATAGGTTGAACTCAATGATATTGGAGGTCTTTTTCAACCTCAATGATTCTAGGCTTCTGAGGCTGCAGTTTCCTTCCAGCCCACAATAAATACTGATGCATGGGGATGGTAACCACCAAGAGAAGCAAACTGTCCCCTCAGGTTTTCTCTACCAGCAGGAACAAAACTGAGCGTCAGTTGTTCCTGATTATCAGCTGGATCACCAGCTCATTCCTGATCATCATCTGGGTCTCCATACTCTGGGATGGAAGCAGGATGTTCTCAGCTTTTACTGCAGTGTTTTTGTGCTGCTTCCCAAGGCACATCAGCCCCTCACAGGTATACACCAACCTAAGCCAGGGGCACACCTGGCCAGAACCAAACCTTCCAGCCCCTGGGGACAGGACTCACTCACCTCTCTGTGCTGAAGGGAAAAGAAGTGGCCAGGATGTGCCCCTCTCTTCCAGGCACTGCAAGATCTCCAGGGACCATTCCAGAGATGTCTGAAAATCCACTCCTTCCTGGGTGACAGAAAGGAGAGGTCATTTGTCTTGGGCTTTAGCTGCATCAAAGCAGAAAGAAACCCTCACTAGACACTGTACACCAAGTACTGTGTTAAAGGAGCTTGAGAATTTAGCCTAAGACATTCCCCTGCTTTGGCAAACTGGATTCCCCCAGGGAATCAGGCTCTGGAGCAAGGCAGTGCCTCCATCACCAAACCAGGCACCACAGGGCTCAGCTGAGTGATGTGAGAGAGGAGGAAACAGCATCATCAGGAAGAAACACCAGGTTTGGGTTGGAAGGACCTGAAAGCCCATCCAGTCCCACCCCCTGCCATGGGCAGGGACACCTCCTACTAGCCCAAGGTTGCTCCAAGTTCCATCCAGCATGGATCAATATACACTCCACTGCACATTCTGCTCCCAGCACACTCCCCAGAGCAAGTTTTGTCCCCTCTAACCTTTCTAGTGACAACCTGTCTTGGGCTTATTTTGGGGTTTATTTTTGCATTACTCATTTTACTTGGAACAACCTCCCAGCTCTGTTTGTTCAAGATGTTTCTCTCCTCCCTAGTTCTTCCTCCAGACTCTCCCACAGGCAGACTGAGCCCAAATGGTTCTCTTTGCCTTAAATCCACTCCCTGATCCAATCTGTGAGGTGACTTCACACAAATGGCTGCACTTCCAAGCTGAGGTGACAGCAACAAGCCTTCACAGGCAGGAGGACGCTCAAGGCAGACAGGTGCTGGGAGCAGCCTGTCATCTCTGCTCCTGCATTTAATAGCATTAAATCATCTGGAAACTACTGTTCCTCCACGCTGGGGATCCCTTTTGCCATGAAGTACCACATTCCAGCCTGGGGAAAAGCATCACCTGACAGATGGCAAATGCTACACGAAGAGTAAGAGAGACACAAGGTTGCTGCACTACCTGAGGCGTGTGAAGTCTGAACAGGAACCTGAACACAGTCAATCATTCAGGGAGAGAAATACAAGTGGAAGCGGAGATGATGTCATTGAGAGGAAAACACAGGTTTAATCTGATGGGAACAGAAAGGCTTTCAGCAGTCTTGTCTGGGGTGGTGCTGATCCCTTCCTGCTGGCAGAACAAGCTCTCAGCCTTCCTGGTGCTGGTACAAAGCAGTTTTGGGCAACAAGCCAAGCTGATCAAACATATCCAGAGCCAGAATTCCCTCGGGGCTGAGCTTACCTTTGGTGCTATTTTGGCTGAGATGAGATCCAGGAGTGAGAAGAACAGCAGGGAAACAAGAACCTGCAAGGAAGAGAGTTGGTTGTACCTGCAGTGGTGACTCAGAACTTGGCCTTTCCCAGCAGGGAATAACATTTCACCAGGTACATTCCCACAAGCACAGTGTGTTTGCCCTGCTGGGACCACAGTTATCCTCATCCCTCTCACAGTTCTCTGTCCCTGCCACCCTCCAGGATTTTGGGGTGAAAGCTGTTGTTATTCCCTGTGTGCTAAGCATTGGTGTCAGCTCTGTGACACCAGTGTCTGACTGGTGGCTGCTGGCTCCAGACCAGTACAAACAGTGCAGGAGTCAATCTCTCAAGAAGAGGACCTGCTGCTGTAACTGCTGCCTGGAGCAATAAACCTCCAGAGCAAACAGGAGGCTCAGGTTGTGCTTCAGCACTGTTACCTGTGAACCTCTTGGCACAGGGACACTCCCTGGTCCTGGCTTTTCCCTGGAAGACCAACAGACAGCACTGCCAGGCAGCAGCCCAGCTTCCTTCTCAGCAGAGCCCCTCAGAGAATCCCCTGCACTGAGGGTACTCAGCATGATGAAGGCAGAGGCATTTCTTGGACCAGATTGGGGAAAACTCTCAGGAATTCTGTCCCTGGGATTCCCAGCGTGACTTCCCAGAGCCTTTAAAATGCCTGCACTGCTGTCTCACAAACTTCCTGCATCCCCTTGACCTTCCAGCCCAGTTGCCTGAGCTAAACTCCACAAGGACTGTGCTGTCAGAGGGAGAGAGATCCTGCATGGCATGGACTGAGCTCTCACCCTGTGCAGGGCTCTCTCCAGCTCTATCTTTTTCAGCAGCTATTGAACAGCTCTCCCTGACTTCAGAGGAACCAGAGTTAGAAGTTTAAGCTTGGAACAACTTTGCCTTTAGGATAAGAATTTAGCAAGTGCTAATTTACAGCCATGTTTTATCAAGTAGCCACCAGCAACTGGATTTGCCAGGGATACAGCACTACCTCAGGACAGCTTTTCTCAGCTAAAGACCTACTTTTCAGGTGTAAGAAAGAGCAGCATGTGAAATGCCCCCAGCCTTGCCTGCTTTGCCTCAGTCCCCAACCTCTCCAGGGCCTCTCTCCCCTGTCGGTGCAGTGACTGGTGCAGGATGGCTCCATGCAGGAAGGCAGCTGAGAGCCAAGGAGGGTCAGAGAGAGGGAAGACTGCTCCTGAGGAAAGGAATCTGGGAAACAAAACAGCATGTCATGAGTCTGGAGGATAAAAAGGGAGAAAACACCACAGCTATGAATGAGGAGGAAATCAGGGGCTTGGGCAGAGGGTGGAGGTTTGTGACTGTGGACAAAAAAGTACATTGTTCTCTCCACCTTTTTTTCCATGAAGTTGGATGACACATGGAGATAGTTTGAATAAAAAGAAGCATGTCTAGAAACAAACAGCAGCATTCCCAAATCTCTTTTATCAGTGGTTGCACAGGTAGCTGACTCTATACCACAGAAACATGTGATTATCACCTGCCATAACCGGCAAGGAGGTTCTTACACTGATCCCCAGCTTCAGGGGAAAAGCTTCAGGGCACTGACAGGCAGGTAGAAAGGGAAGCAAAGAGCCAGTCAGCAGCTCCAGGAGCCCAGATTCCCCAAACCAGGGAGCAGAGGGTGTGGCAGCTTCAGGGAATGACTCAGTGCTGTGCTAGGGATGTCTCCAGTGTTTGTCCAACCAGGATTCTGCCTTCAGCCTCCTCTGCAGAGATTCCCTCACCTTGTGGGGAGCACTCTGACCCACATCACACACTGTAGGGCCAGAGTCAATAATTATAGTGACTCATTTTGAGTTGAAACACCACAAAAAGGGTCCGTACAGAGCTGTCCTGGAAGGTTCTGCCCAGCTGAGCATTTCACACTGCCTGGGCTGGTCCCTCAGGGCAGCAGCTTCTCGCTCCATCCCTCACACACACCTGGTGGCTGAGGCCTGACACCCCCTCAGTCTGTCTAGTTCCTCTGCAAGTGGATTCCCAAAGAGTCTCTTCCACTGAGAGCAAAGCACTGGCTCCAGCCTGGGCCACCACAGCTGGAACAGAGATGGAAACAACAGCATTAGTGGGAGGTGCTCAGAGGTGGCTGCAGTCAGGTAGGTACAGCAGGTACCTGAAAGGTTTTTTTTCTTCTCCTTATGGAAAAGGTCCAAGTTGTGCATACACACATCAGAAACAGGAGAAATTTCACACTCTGGACGTGCAGAGGGCCATGAGTTGCTGTGTTCAGACACCTAGAGTTCCTCTGGCAGGACCAGTCAGAAAGGACTGTTCCCCAGAGGTGAGGTCCACACTCATTGCATGCAGCAACATGTGTGAAACAGCACGTACGGAGTTACACACAGGAGGGAGAAAAAAAATCTGGGGTTTTGGGAGGGATTTGGGGGATTTTTGGTTGCTTGGCATATAACAACCACCCCCCATAGTGCATCAGAGTCCAAGACAAACCTCCCAGCTCCACACTCTGAACTCCTCCACTCCTGTGGTGACACTCCAAGGAGCCTAGAGCTAGGCTCAGTGACACCGAGGGCTCAAAACCACCCTGAGACTTCCAAAGGCATTAGGAGTTTCTACTGAATGTTCTACACTTCAGTAATGTTTAACACAAGCTCTGAGCTGGCGCTGGATCTCTCCCAGCACCCCTCAGACAGAGGAGATCATTTACCCCTGCAGAGAGCAGCACCAGAGGGCATTTGGTCTGACACACTGTTAGAGCATCGTTGACCCCTTCTGCTGCCTCCTCACAGTCCAAGCTGGCATTCAGCAGGCCCTGGAAGAGGATAAACGACAGGTTGACTCCACACAAACATCTCCGCTGCTTCAAGTCCCACCCTGAGCCGCGTGTGAACTAAGCAGAGACGACTGTAGGGGTCAGCATGGCTCAGCAAGAGAAACATGCCCAAAGCTCCTCCTTCCCCCACCAGCTCTGCTGCATTGTATTAAAATTCACCTCCACCACTACTCCCTCCTGCTGCTTCCTTCATTTTCCCGGATTACTGCTGTTCTGCTTGGAATTTACCCCAGGAATTCTCAGAAGTAGGGTACACGGGGTACACCTTATGTGTCAGGTGTCCTGGGAGGGAAAGCTCTGAGCAGGGACAAGGAGCAGAGTGACAAGAGTTACCCTGAAGAAGTGAGCCGTGATGTCGTAGGGGAGAGCATAGCCTCTGGAGCAGATGTTCTTCTGTGGGACACAAGGAGACGGGAACAAAATACCATCATTCCTTCCCTCTGGAATATGATTTTGGTTGTCTGACACAATGGAATTCAGCAGAGAATCACCCTGTGGTTCCTGAATGTCAGCTCAGAGGGCAGAAACTTGGTTTCCATACAAAGCAACACCCTGGCCTAGTGCTGCACAGCCCCTGCATCCCTGCTCACATGTCTGGATGGCAGCAGCAGATGGATTAACACCCTTGGGATGAACAGAAGTTTCTGGCTATGCCTAATATGGCAGTGCAGAGGCCTCACCGGCCTTTCCAAGCAGAAGGGCTTGGAAAGGCCAGCGAGGATGAATAGATAGGAATTAGCTATCCTTGGAGCACAAAGAAGTGTCCTGAGGGACCTGCAAGGCAAGTGACCTTCTCCAGGGAGCTGCAGGGATGTTTCTGGATGTTTCTCTAGTTTACATTCACAGGAAGACAAGGAGGATCTCACTCCATAGCAAACCAGTTCAAGGCTCAGGAATGATAGAGGGATTGGAAAAGGGATCATGCTCAGTCCCTTCCAGGCCTCCATGGGTACACTGAGGTTTGTCTCTAACCCACTGTCACCAAGCAAAGAACAGGTGACATAAAATGCCACAATTACAAATGAATGAACCCAAACGTCATAGAATCTCAGAATGGTTTGGGTTGGAAGGACCTCAAAGCCCATCCTGTTCCACCCCATGGGCAGGGACACCCTCCACTGGCCCAGGCTGCTCCAAGCCCCATCCAGCCTGGCCTGGAACACTTCCAGAAATGAGGCAGCCACAGCTCTGAGCAGTTTGGCTGCACTGCACCTCCTGCCCTAAACCCAAGGCTAAGGTCCTTATCTAGAGCATTTCCCCACAAGAAATCACCATTTGGCCAGTGATACATACCAGCTCTGAGTTCACAAACTGAAAAAAGTCTTCACAGTCCAACACGGTCCTGTTTCCTTTCCTATACGTGGTGATCAGGGTGGCTGCAGGGAGCCCAACCAGGATCCTTGGGCAGGGGAGAACAGAAACAAAACTGAGGTTAATGCCAGGAAGAGAATCAGCCTCTCCATGAAGATGTGTGTGGACTCTGAAATCCAGTCTGCTGCCAGGAGCAACTGGGACCCCAAGATGGCACATGGAAATGCAGTTATCTCAGGTGGGTGCCAGGGAATAAGTGTCCCCTGCACAATTGTCACCATGATAGAGTGTCACTGATCCCTGCTCTCTGGTAACAGTGACAGGACCTGAGGGAATGGCTAGAGCTGTGTCAGGGGAGGGTTAGGATGGATATTAGGCAAAGGTTCTTCCCCAGAGGGTGTCTGGGCACTGGAACAGCTTCCCAGGGCAGTGGTCAAGGTCCCAAGCCTGAGAGAGCTCTAGGAGTGTTTAGCTAATGCTGTCAGGCACAGGGTGGGATTGTTGGGGTGTCCTGTGCAGGGTCACAAGTTGGACTGGTGATCTTTCCAACTCAGGATATTCCATGACTCCGTGATTGTGTCACTTGCTGTGGAATCAGAGGGAGACACACTGTACACACCATCCTGTTCTGAGCAGCAGTATGGGAGATATTCCCAGCTGCTCAGACCTGCAGGTACCTTCTGTGCAGCAGCAGCTCCTGCTGCCTCCACAGCTGCTCTCCCAAGGCAGATCCAGGCTTTCTGTCTCTTAATCTTCCCTGGAGAATCTCGAACAGGAAGTGTCTCTGTGCAGCTGAGCAGATCGACAGCAGCTTTCTCCTGCACCTCAGCTCCAGCACCAGCTCCTGAACAGGGTGTGAGGAAAACAGTGCTGGTCAGGGCTACACACCTGCACCCAGACCCTCTTTGTTTCTCTAAGTAAGCACAGAGATCCATACAAACAGCCTCTCTCAGCCCCCACTCACTGCTCACACATGGAGCCTCCCAAACACTGAGGTCTTGGCGAATGCTTTGGCCAAGTACTGAACATCACTTACTGAACTTACTGAACAAGTAATACATCACAGTCTGAAATCACCTGCAGCCTGCAGAGAATCTCAGGGCTGACTGACATCTTTGAGTGGCCACAGCCACCCAGGTCCAGCCTGAAATGAAAGCACACACCAGGTAACTCCCTCAGGGCATAGCACAGTTCAAACACTCTGAAGGCTTCAGAGCAACCAACATTAGTGTGCCTTAAATGTGCTTAAATAAGCTGAGGCAGCAGCTCTGCTCTAACCTCCCTCATTTCCAGCTCCAGCCACTCCCCCAGGGCACTGATGCTTGTCTGGCCAAACACATCTGAATACAAAGCCAACTTGAAACAAGACAGCCAGACTAGGGCCTCTTTGCAGCCCCAGACCTCTGTCACCTAGAGCAAGATGCTTATGCAAAGGCTGGTGAGTCACACAGGGACACCTCCCTGCTCCCACTGCCAGCCAGGCCAGGAGGGGATGGCCTCCACAGCCCCGTGGAAGGCACAAGCTCCCAGTTCACAGCTTGACATGGAAGTCATGGCACAAAATACCTCTGGGAGAAATCCAGGATGGCATTGATGATAACTCCACATGCCTTCTCCAAGTCTCCATCACAGCCACCAGCAGTGGAAGGTGCAGGAAGATAGTGCTGATAGATGGCCCAGTAATGGAAATCCTGTCTGGAATGTGGAAAAGGAGGAGATGGGGAATCTATTTGAATGGTGCCTTTCCCTTGATGTCAAAGGAAGCTCAGACATCAAGTGTGATGAACGATGTGTGATCAGATCAAAGTACCAGGTAAGTGCAGACATGAAGAGTCAACCAGCCCCCACCCATCCTGATGCCACTCAGGACTCACTTCCAGAAGGAAAACCAGCGAGGGTTTGTGCCAAGTTGCTTGGAAGGGCTGTACATGCAGGCCAGAGGTTATCTTGGTGAGCTTCATAGAGACAGTCACATGCTTTGGGATGGAAGGACCTCAAAGTTCATCTCATTCCAGGCCTTGCCATGGGCAGGGACACCTTCCACCAGCCCAGGTTGCTCCAAGCCCCATCCAGCCTGGCCTTCCTCAAGCTAACACACCTCATTCCAGCAGTGCTTGAACAAACCACAGCAGTCAACAGGCATTTGTGTCCTGCAGCTGCTGTTTGTTTACTTCCTCATCTTCAGTGCTTTTCCCTAACTTGGGTGGGAAACTCTTGGACTACACACTTTCCAAGGGCCTCTCAGCACTCACCTTTCTGAAGCAGAGAGAATGTCCTTTTCAGGGCACACTTCCAGCTCCAGCAGCAGCCACTCTCTGAAAGACAACTGGGAACAGCAAGGAGTTAGGG